TGTCATCGATCTCCCATTGAGGCCAACGTTGAAAACGAGATGGGTAGTTACAGTACCATGCCGTACTCTACCAGGCCTGGCTCGCCTTTGTCTTCCCAGTGCTCGTGATGATGTATATAGATCCACACAATTGGGTACTCATTTAAGGCTTAGTCAATCTAGGAAAAAGGCCAGGATAAGTTCTGATGACAGTGTCGGTGATGGTTAGACGTGGATGGTTATAGAACATAGATCGCTGGGTTCGTAGTGCAGTGTGCTCATCACTGCTCCACCACTCCCCCCCCCCAAACACACACGCACATCGACTAAGATACCCCATGTAGCCTGCATCGACTGTCGAGGCAACTGCTGTGAGTGAGTGACACCGGTTTCTGCTCTGGCCCATCGACTCATCGCAATGATGCGATGGACACAGCCCCAGCCGAGAAGGCTCACACCCATCCAAAGACCTCACCATGTGATTCCGAGCCGTGAGCGGACATCAAACTCCGCAAACCACAGCGTCACTCCGCTCCCCACGCTGTACATACATATAAAGATAAAGATCCCCCATATAGCCTTAACATACTGTAGGTGGCAAGTGCTGTTAGCGAGCATCTATGAAGGCCGGAATGGCACACGAGGCGGTGGGTGGCCAGCACGACGCCCGGCCGCCTTTGTTTCCCTAATGGCGAAATTCACATGTTGCACCAGTTACTCATTTGCGGCTTAGTCGACCTACGGGAGGCCCAGAACCGGTTCAGATAACAGTCACCGGTGTTGGCCGTGAGTGGGGATCGAACTTGTGTCGCGGGGCTCGTAGTGCAGCAAGTGAACCGCTGCACAGCCTCTCTCCACACACACACGGACACACTCTCTTGTGTGTGTGTGTGTGCGCGTGTGTGTTCGGGTGTTGTGACATGGCCTCCGCAGCGGTAGGGAAGAGCTGAGCCGCTGAACCTGCTCGGAATTTTAAGTGCAGATTTTTGGGGGGGACGGGGATGGATGGAGGGCGAAGAGTTGGGTGGAGACACCGGTGAGCGGTACCGGCGGGTAGGGGGCGGGTGGAGAGGAGATTGCAAAAGTTTTGGGGAGTCGGGAGGGGGGCAGAGAGGAGGGGGACACTCGGCAGAGAGAATTAGAGAACGAGAAGGGGCTCAAGGTGAGGGGGCAGATGGGGTGCGATTGGGCGATTGGGCGAGTGGGGGGGGGATGTCGGGAGGGGAGAGAGACGAGAGGCGAGTGGGGTTTGTGGAGGATGGGAGCAGAGTTGGGGGTGGAGTGTGTGGCCATGGGAGAGGAGGGGGTGGACAGGCGGGAGGGGAGGGCTACGGTAGCCTTGGGCGAGGAATGCACTTGAGACGTTCCCTCCTCCTCCTCCTCTCTTCCCGTTGACCTGAGCCGGTCCCCGGGGCCCTGCCGCCAACCCCCCTTTGAAGCCTCTTCACCTCAAACTCTTTTTTTTCCCCTCCTTCCCAGAATGCCTCTTCATTCACACAGGCGGGCAACAACAAATGCATTGTGTGTTATACTGTATTATGATCTCTGTGCCATTTCACATTCTTTTTACCTTTGTCGTAAACCACGCTGTCGTTTGTATGTGTGCTGCGTCTACATATTTGTGTGTACATGCTTGTGTATATTGCGGCACAATGTGGATTTACAGAGTGTCTCATTGCAGCTCCATCTCAATACGGCTACTTGTATATGTATAGTTTTTGGTATTTTGATAAAATTGTAAAGCTGTTTTTCTCACGCTCGTGAGCTTATTTTTTTTTTAAATTAAGTTCTGAATAACTTTGGCGTGGCTTTTTTTTTTCCTCAAGGAGTTTACGTGATCGTTCAGAAAGTCAAAGGGCCTTTGCTGTTTTGTGACCGGCACTCAAAAGTTATGGATCCCGTCACATGAACTTCATTGTTGTCGTTGGACTTTTTCGCACTGTAAATAGCCAGCCGCGCTAATCGGAGGTGCCGGGGAAGGACACCAAACTAAACACAAGAAGCAGTTAGACAGAAACGAGTTTTCAATTTCACACGTGAGGCTCTTCTCTGTCGGTGTTCTTGAAACCAGCGATGAACATTTCCGTATTTCCATGACGGAACCTTGTTTATCCATAGGACAAACTGTATTTCCTTGCACAGAATTGTTGTTGTTTTTATTGACTCTATATAAAAAAGTCACGGTTTAAATCCGTGACGTTCCGCCGCCATTCGTTTCCTTTGGAGCGTCGAGAGAGAGAGAGACGCGCGCTGTCACGAATGTGGATGGCTGCCGAGTTTATTCTCTCTTTGGTTCAAATGTTTTTTTGCGTGAGATTGTTTTGTGTGTATGTGCGCGCGCGCGTGTGTCTGAGAATCGAGCTCTTGGGAGAGGAAGCAGAGGGCAGTGAGGGTCAGATGCCGGAAAGATGGCCCCAGTAGCCTTGCTCAATTTTGCAACAATTGCACTCTGTCCGATCCTCTAGCCTGCAACCCCCCCCCCCCACTATTCCCTCCACCACCACTCCCTCCTCTGCGAGCCCTTCTGCCCACCACCAGCTGCCTCTTGCGCCCTTTCCCCTTTTCCTCATCCTCTTTTTTGTTGTTGTTGCTGTTGCTTCGTTCAGTCATTTCACTCTGGTGCCCTCTGTCCAGCGGTTGAACTTGAATGGCACGAATTAATGTCTGGAGTGGCATTTTCCGTTGGAAAGCCCTACGACCTAAAAGCCTTTTAAGATGTACAACTTTTTTATTTTTGAACTCCCTCCTATCCTCCACGCAATGTTTTCAAGCGATGCTCCGTGTAAACTCGCCTTACCGTATTGAGGACAATGCAGGCGCGAGCCGCCGTTTTCTTGACAGATTTATGCGTCGTCTATTTTTATTTGGCGTTCGTGCCCTGGGTGGCGGCTAAAATCGGCAAAAGGTGAAAAGGAATCGTCGTGCGCTCGCGTTCTCTGAAAACGTGATATGAGAACCGGCATGAAGGTCACGATTGAGAAAGCGTGCACCCTTGAAATACGAATAACGTAGGCGATTGCACACAAAAAAAGTTGAGAATTACTTTGGGTGGCTTCAGCAGAATGTTGATCTAAAGGTCGGTGGATATATGTGTGTTCTTAAGAAATGCGGTTACCCTGTCAGCAGCCTCCAGCGCAAGGAGAGAATCCGACTTCCTAGTGTGTGTGTGTGTGACACCTTTGTTTCACGTATGAATTTAATCGTGATCGATGGTATGTTTGTTTTAAACTAGGGATGATGGGGAGGGGGTGCCGGTGCTTTAATGTACACAGATGGTGAAAATATCATCGGTATTCCTTAATTTAAGGCTTTACTTTGTTGTGTCAACACCACAGAAACACACGGGGTGAGTGAGGGCGGGCGGGGGGGGGGGGGCTGTGTTCTAGCCCTGCGTGGACAAACGTGACCAGTGGGGGGGGGGGGAGGGTTAACAAAATAAATAAATAAATCCCTCTTTGTTGCACGCGCGGTCCGCCAGAGGCCAAGGAAATGTGACCACCTATTTTTTAATGACACACAATACGGTTGTTTGCGACTAAAAACTCGCCTTGCCCAGTCGTCGCGGCGCGCCAGCGACAAACAAACACAACAAACACGACTCCCGCGCTCTCTTCGAACCGTTCCGGGGAGCGTCCAGTCGCTCCAGTCGGCAGCTCTGGCGCAAACTCTCCAACTGACGTTGCAGCCACCCTTTGAAAATCCACGGTAAGCAACGATTTGCTCCTGTTTAATCTTGTTGGTTGCTCGTGAAAAGATATCAAAATGGACTCAGCATCAGCCCCTTTTTGTTCTGGCTGCGCACAGTTGCATCTACGCCACAAGCACGCGCCACGCACGCACGCACGGGAGACGGCGCCGTATATTTGTGGATTCATTCAAATGTGGTGGTTTGTGCAGAAGTGTGTGTGTGTGTGTGAGCCGTGAGGGGACGGGAGCCGCGTGACCTCTCCGGGGACAAGATTCTGTTTCCCGTTTCTGCGCTTCACAAGATATGCCCGTCAACGTGGCTCCAGTCGGCGTTCTCTCCGCGCGCGTGCCGTCGTCCTGGATCTGTTTGCCGAATGTTTTTCGCTTTCTGGAAGGGTGCAGCGGCGAGTCTGCTTCGGATCACGCCAGCCGCGCGCGGTCAGCGTTCGCGGGTAGCCAAAGCCAAGTGAAAGTTGTCTCTGCGCTCGCAACGAGCAACTGGGCAACTGAGCAACTGGGGCTCGCTGTCCTCCCTCCCCGCGCGCAAACCTCCGATCGCTGCGGTTGGCTACGTGCGGTGCGAAAGAAGTTCAACATACGTATACAGACATGGATCTCTATTAATGGCCCGGAGCCAGTGCTCGAAATTCCACATTCCTGTGGTGGTGCCAGTTTTTTGCCATCGGACAATCGTCATTGATGCTAACGAAGCGTTGGTACGAAACTGTGCGTGGATGGGTGATAAGATCAGGCGTGTTCACTTGAGGGTGCTGTATACAGTTTTTTTTTTCAAGATAATTGATATGATGTACGAATGATTAGTTATTCGTTTATTTTCTATCACCGTGTGCAGTCGGAGATTCGGTGAATCTCAAACTCATCTGATTTGATGTGGGTGTTGGTGGGTGACGAATCTAGGAAGCATCGTTAGCGTGACCTTGTTTATAATATGGGAGGGGTGGGGAGGGGCATGACACAGTCAATGTTCAGCAACTTTGAACAAATGTTAAACTCTAAACTGATTGTTACATTGCAGCATCGTGAGAGGTGGCAATGGCTTAGGGAGGCCTTCACCCAGCAGTGGATTGAACTTGACTGATGACGATGAAACAGAATTAGTAATAATGCATTCTGCTTTTTTCTGTTTTGCATTCTGCTCTGGCTCTCACCCGCTGTGTATAGGAGGACAAGCTGCAATGCTTACCCGCTTTATTGTACATTAAGAATATAGAAGGGGGGAGTGAGGGGGGCTAAGCCCTCCTCCAGCCCCCGGGGCTGGACCAAGGAGTGGCTGATGCTTGACACTGCGGCCGCCCGCTGTCTCTTGTCCCCAGGTACCGGTTGCCATGATGACCCCGCAGGTCTTCAGTGTGCAGCAGATACAGCAGCTCCTGCAGCAGCAGCAGCAGCAGCAACAGCAGAGCCTGACAATGCCCCAACAGCTGCAGGCCGCACTTCACAAGCAACAGCAGCAGGCCATCGCGCTGCAACAGGTGGGCTCAGTGCGGAACGCTTGATTTCCTCTTGCCTGGGACGTTCGACCCAATTCCGTTTTGGATGTATCTTGAACTTATTATGCACCATACGTAGCCAACTGTGCTAATTGGAGGTAATGAGTGTTTGGAATGTGCTAGAAGACCAGAGCACCCGGAGAAAAGCTGCGTGTACAATGAGAAAGCACTCACAATCCTGCAGAGAAATGCCAACATCCTACTTGCCGTACTGTCTCATACAGGCACCCGAATGCTCCTTCAGGTGTGTCTGTGTGTCTTTGTTGGCATGATCCAGACTGCCAAAGTAGCTAGATCACACTTGGCTGTAAGCAGCTCATTACGATAAGCCACAGTTTCAAAGATAAACGTTTACGAAAGGATGCACGTGGAATATTTACCTGGTCGATGGTCGTAACCACAGAATTTGTGAAAAGGTCGGATGTGTGAGCGTGTCTTGAAAACCAATGTTACACTACCGTGCACAAATAGGACCTCCGATTAGCACGGTTGGCTACGTACGGTGCGAAAGAAGTTCAACATGCATACGTACACAGGACACTGGACAGAAAATTAAGCTAACACTCTGCTCTGAGCATCGGGTAAAATGCGTGACTGTGCTTCACAAGCGAGCCGATCCTCGAGAGATCAGGAACACGTGGTCGTTTGTTAAAAAGGTCAGATCCGTGAACGTCTGTAGAACATGACAGCTACAACCGAGCCCAAATAGTGCACTGGGTGTGTGGGCGGTTAATTGATCGCGACAGTCGTGTATACGACGTCATGCTGCAGTTGACGAGGCCATTGGCGGGATTTGTCTTGAACGGCCTTTGGGGCCTTTGACGGAAAAAAATAAAAACCCATGCAGGATTTCATTTTTTTTTTATCGTTGCTGTTGTTGTTGGAAAACGACGCGAGATGCCGAATGAGTTTCTGTCATGGACAGCTTCACTCGTTCGCAATTTCCCTTTGATGGGACTCTCCGCCCGCTGTCTCCACGGACAACGTCAGCGTGGCATGTTCCCGAGCCGCCTTAATAAAGGCCAGCGTTATGGAAAGGGAAGGCGGTTTAAATATATATTTGCATGTGCCATCGCTTCCCTCTCGTATGCGCTGTTATTTATTTTCATGGCAATTTAAAGGAAATTCGAAAACGTTCAAAGTTGTCCTATGGAATGGGAGCAGTGGGGGGGGGAAGAGTAATTTGAAGAAAGAATGGCAAATTAACTGGAAAGATTGTGAAATATTAAGCGACATTTAAAGCAATTATGATGTGCTCAGTGAACGTAATTGGGACACATGTTGATGTAAAATCGTATCCATAGCAATGGAGAGAGTGTTTGAGCAAAGTATCCTTTAAAGTTTGCCTTCCCTTACAGTTTCACACCGATGGCCCATTTTACGAGTTACTTTTTCCACACGGTTGAAATTGATGAATAGGGTCGACCAAAAGCGATGCATCGTAGGCATGTACGGATGCGTCAGTTGCATTGGGTGACATCTGTTTCAACGTCCGCGTGGCATGCATTAGATCGTGCGTACACAAACCGATTATTCAGGATTAATGCACTTTGGCTGCCAATGTTACCTTAAGGCTAATGTTCCTTAAGGCTAATGTTGAAGCTCGTGGGTCAAATGGGAAAGACAAAAACTAAAATATTGATTCTAAAATGGAATGTAAACTGGGACCATCAAACTATTAAGAAATAGATTTCTCTACCGATAAAATATAATCGGTCTAATTTCTTGACCGCTTTGGAAACTTGGGCAGCCGTTTGGCCATTGGCCTCTGGCTATCTGGCTGCCTCCCTTCTAGCTCGTCCGTGGTTTCTGCTGTAACGAGCCGGGCAAGCTGAATGGGCGGTCGGGGGGGGTGGCCCTCTCTCATCAGTAACCTTTCTGATGAACCGACAAAACATGACGAATTCTCGCCTCTGCTCCTACGTGTGTGCCGTTTGACGGGAGGTCGATGAACTTCATCGACATCATCACCAGCAGCAGCAGCAGCCACGTGACGCTGGCTGTGGCTTATAGGGGGTTTTGTCACCTTTGGGAGAAGGGGGAGAAGGGGTGGTTGGCCACTATTTGTAAAGGGGCCAAAGTAACGGATTACACAAAAAGGAGTTGATTACATTGCAGCCGATTGCTTGAACATAATCCCGCAGAATTGTTGCGGCTCCGATGGCTCTACAACCCCCAAGTTATGACGATGTGAATCGGCGCCCTGCACAGTGAGTTCCATGGCCATGCGATTGTGGTCTTGAGTGAATCGCTGCGATGATGGTAATGAACAATCCTTTGAAAAGTTAAATTTCACTAAATTTGATCGTGAAAACACACTATGACACTTAATTACTGTGATTCCCGAAAAATGTCGGAGCCATGGCAGCTCTAAATAGCATCGATTGTGCCATCTGTTTGGGAATTGAGTAATTTAAAGATTAGATTTTTTTATGCGCACAGCTGTCTGATGCCGTTACTTGTACACTATCTTACGTAATTGTTCCCTTAATGCTGTCGATATTGAAAAACTGACGAGCTTCGTAATTTAACAGATAATGTACACGTTTAATATGTGCATTCATATTCACCTCTGGAGAGCAGCGGTTAGCTCACTGCACTATGAACCCGGCGACATGAGTTTTATTTCCCGCCACAAATAACATTGGTGGTGAGTTATATCTGAACCAGCCCTGTACCCCAACCAATTCTCTGATCTGCACTGACCAATATGGTTCAGTATGGAAGAACAACCCTCGTGTCCAATATGGTTGTAGAGTGGGTCTTCATCCAGTACTGGATTGACAAAGGGCTATTCTGCTAAATGATATAATCATAAACCATCCGTTGTCGATAAAATGTGAACCGTTCTTTGGGACTTCAGCCGTGGTTGTCCTGTGAAAGACACTAGTCCTTGTCATAGGAATGTGGAATTGCTACCACTGGCACAGGGCTGCCGCTGCATATGAGCACCAGCTCACGCTCGTCAGCAGGAGCCACACACTGAATGAGTTCGCCATGCGAGCGGTGAGACTTTTGAGACTGGCCGGAGAAATACGTTGACATAAAGTTGATCCTTACACTGTGTATACTATACTATGTGTGTTAGAATCAATTATGTACCATAATGCAAATTAATATACAATGTTACATTCGAAGCCTTTGAGTTGCACTAAAGCTGTGCTCACGAAGACAGAGCGAGCAAAATAAAAAATACAAATGAGACAGCCGATTAAGAAGTAAAAAAAAAACCACAACACATTCTCGGACTCACACCGTGACACACCGAATGATGACATTTCGTTGACTCGCCGATGGTGAAAGAAAAGGAATCGGGGGGTAGGGGGTGGACAAGTGAATCATCAGATGCCTTACTGCTGGCGGATCCCCTGGCAGCGTGCATAGTGGGGTGGACCGTGAGTCTCTGCGATCGTGTCGTGACGTCGCTAGCTGCCCTCCCAGTGTCTCCAACCTCGGCTGCTGTCGCTTTGCCGGCATGCCCCCACACCGCCCCCCCCCCCCCCCAACTCTGTGTCATCTTTGCTCAGCTGTGAACCCACAAACAGGTTTCCCACAATGTGCGCTTGTCGCCCCCCACTAAGAGTTGGTTAGTCCGTTCTATGTCACTGACATGGGGGACTGCCCAAGGCTGTCCGCTTCTCACACATGTGCCACAATTCTGAGCTCTTCCCACACAGCACGCCGCATCTGTAGATGCAACATCCTTCAGCTCCCTCTTGAGGTTAATATATTTACGCTTTAGCCAAATCGCTCACCGTCATCGTCATCATCAGCGGCCAAGATTTATCCACTGCTGGATTGAAGGCCTCCGCCAGCTGTCGCCATCTCTCACGATTTTGTAATGCCAGCGGTCCATGTAGCTCCTGTACACAAGCTGATCACCATGGTGGTGAGATGTTAACTACCTCGCCTGGTATGCAGGAGGTTGTTGTGGGCTCGATTCCGACCCTGACGGCTGCTGTATACTTTGAGTTTCATGTTGTCTCCATCGTCGCGTGGATTTTCCTCCGGGTCCTCCAGTTTTTCCCTCCACATTTAGAATAAAGATGCGTTCGGAGTATTTGGCTGCGATAAATTTCCACGTGATTAGCCACTCCGTCGAGCGATTATTTGTGGCCAGGTCACTTCTGAAAAAGAGCTGTTTGTAGGAGCTCAGTGTGGGCCCTTACCCGGTAAAATTTTAATTGTTAGAAGTGGTTTGATTTCATCGCTCCAGGTTCACGGTGGGCGTCCTCTCAGGCGCTTCCCCTCCTCTGGCTGCCACTTTGTCATTGGCGGTAGTACACACGTGCGCAATCGGCGCTCGCCGATTTGCCTGCCGTTGAACGGGATCCGGTCGACGCCGTTCAGCTTTCCCCAAGTCGCGGGCGGCGACGCGTGGCTCGGTTTTTGTCGAGGTTTGGGGATTTCTCAGCGGTGGAATCGCCGAGAGATATTTTATTGTTTGTTTTCTGAAGAAAACCCAAGCCAGAAGTGCGCGATGGTTATTTCGTCTAAGTCGGTGGATACATGCGTGCAAATAAATAATAATGCTTAACACGTAGGCTTTTGCGACCAATAATAAATGTTTTTTGGCTAAGATCACGTAAATATAACTTCTGGCAAATTGCCTGATGAAGCTGTTTGTAATCACCAGCTAAATGTTGTACTCAAATTGTAAATGTTGTGGGTTTATTTTCCAACACACCGGTGTGCTGAAGTAGTAACTAATTGGTCACTTGACAAACCCTACCCGACTGACCAAAAGACCAAGAGTATGGAAACCCTACTAATTAGCTGTGGCAGGTGGTGGTGGGTTAACGACACATTTATATTCGCGCGATCTAACCCCCAAAAAAACCCCTTTATTATGAACAATAATGCAACGTATAACTTTCACAACATTTCACGGACGTGAAACCCAGGCGATGGAGGTGGGGCCCCCACGTGTCTCTGGAAAGTCGGTGACAGTCGGTGTGGGTTGAACTCTGTTGCCATAGTGCTGCGGGATGGTGGTCCAGACAGCGGGGACTGCCGCGGATGACTGTTTCAGAGAGTCCACGGACCCCGCAGTCTGCTGGGTTTCACAGATGCAAGTTTTGTGGCCTCATCAGTACACTTAGATTTGCATTGTTTCAGAGATTTGTAAGTCTGCAAGCTTAATAATTTGCGATCAATTCCACTTTTTGCCGTTTAATAACCAAAAATAACTTTAACAAAAATGTATTTCTCGTAAAAAAATTATGGTCGGCGTCTACGAACCACTTCACCGGCCCACGCGGGATTTTTGGAAGCCATTTCTTTTACGCTGAAACCGATGGCAAAATCTGCTGTGTAATGGCCACGCGTGATGTCATAGCGTGGCTCGGTCAACTCCTACACAGAGGTCGCACCGATGACTTCATTCTGGTTTCTCCAAAATCAAACCTCGTCTTTGCCCTGTTTCGGGCGACCTGCCAGATTGCGTCCGTGGAATTGGGTGGCCCACATCTCTACTGCCGCCGTGAACCAAGCCTCTGATTGCTGGGAAACATCAGCTGTGTCCCTCCTCTACTCTCCACGTTCCCAACTGAATTAGCGACACATCAACAACGACAACAATGATAATAATAACACTAACGTTGGACCTTACATTGTGAACGTTTTAGCTTTTCACTCAGACTGTTGCTGTGGCCCACACTTTGCTAGGGCCAGCGAATGAAAAAAAATGTGCAACGTCATCTTCGCGTTTGTAGAAAGCATTGATGTTCGTTCATTGAATCCACGATAAATTATTTGCAGTAGATTCAGAAGGATTCCACAACATTGTTTCACATTGCCCACCGACTGCAGTCATCGCAGTAGAAAATACCGGAGAAGGGGGAGCAATTTGGGTCACGCTGCTAGGGTGCGCCGGTGCATCTGTGGCTCATTGGGTGGCACAGTTTTAGGCATTGTGCATTTCAAAATGTGCCCGTTTATTGCCGTATTGTCGCCCACATATTGGGCTTCATACCCCACCCCCTCCCCAGAGTAATGCAAAGCCGAGCGACATCAACAGCGTAGTGTCCACTTTAGGTAAAGGGGCTCTCTGATTTATCACCGTGGGGGTTGCTAAATAACGATTGCTTCAGCATGAGCGCACAATGGCCTACTGTTACAGAGAGCAAGCCCGGACAAAGTCGCGCGTGGCACCGTCTGTAAAATATACGTGAGCGCATTTTTGTTTACGCGCCGAGTTGGGTTGCCGCCGGTTCACCGGCTTCGGCTCGACGGCCGGGGCGAGTCCGTCGATTAATCGACTAAAATGAGATTCACAATTGGATTTTAGGCACGATCGTACTTTCCACGATGTGACCAAAAAAAAAATAATCTATTATTAATTATAATACGGGGTCACAAAAGCCTAGGTGTTGATTTCATCAACTAAATGTTGTAATCGTCTCCTTTTTTTGGTGGTCGATTACTCCGGGCCCCTTTTAAAAAATGGTCGCCGTCCCACAAAAGCTGCCGCCTGAAGGCGGGAAACCTCTTACGAGCCACGCCCAGCGTGACGCGGCTGGTGATGCCAGTGATGTCACCATCATTGGCATGTGTGTGTCGTTGTTGCTCTGGAGAGCGGGAGATCGATGATCGATGTTCAATTGCCATGTTGACGCCATTCGTCGTGATCTCTCACTTAATGGAGTGGGCCGTGTGAAGGCTGCCATCTTCCACTCCTGTGGTCATTGAAAAGACAACGTGGCATAATTCACAGGAGTGGATAATTTTGCGCCAGTGTCATGGGCTAAATCTCAAAGTTTTTTTTATGAACTTGCGAACTTAATTGCGCTGCTCGAAATAAATCTAGTTTCTTAGATGGGTATGGCGACGCGCACGTGTGATCCGGAACTTCGGGGGGCAAGGGTGAAAATAGCTGCGTTAATATCCGTGAAACTTTAAAACCTGCTGGGCCGCAATGTCACCTGGAAACGGCAGTCACAGTAAGTTGGTTTCGTCTGCTGGCCATGTTGCCCTTGACAAAGAGCCGTATGACTCAAGGGGATTTTACTTGGGAAATAAAATTAGCATTATAAACTTCGGAGTTTGTGAGCCCGTCTCTGCTGCCACTAGCACACACAAAGACAAATATTATTGAATCACCGGGTGGAAGAGGGTTAATAATTACATTCCTAGTTTTACATTATGAGACCTCCTTTGCCAGTAACAAGATATAGGAATAGGTTTTACCCTTTTAACTGGCACAAAAACTGACACCTTTATTCAAGGCATCATGTTTGCAATAACCACAACACAAGCAGTCAAAATGCAAACAAAAAAAGACAACTCTGATAATAATATGCACTGTCCTTGAATTTGATTGGTCCACACCCGAGACGGCTTTTCTTAGAGCCTAGTCTCCATTGGTGTTGGCCTAGAAGACGCCAAAAGGCGTACAACTCAAAAACTGCTCACTCCGAGCCCTCAATACTCTGATAGTGTGCTGTTTTTGAGTTGTACGCCTTTTGGCGTCTTCTGGTCTTTTTTTTGTTTGCATTTTGACTGCTTGTGTTGTGGTTATTGCAAACATGATGCCTTGAATAAAGGTGTCAGTTTTTGTGCCAGTTAAAAGGGTAAAACCTATTCCTATACATTCCTAGTTGTTCTTGCAAAGCAAAATTTATCACGAGGCCACATTAGGAATCAAACAGTAGGTACTCGGTTCAAACGTGCTTAATTAGAGAGCTTGCTGAATCGGGGTGTAACGACCTATCGATTGACATCGATTTTTAAGCTCAGAACATGTACATCCATTCACCTGCCTTTCAGAATCGATATTTTCGAACACGTGTAACCATTTGTCTATTAAAGCTGAGGAATTAAATGATGTCCGATCCAGGAGATGGAGTGGTGAAATCAGCTCGTGTGCACATGTTAGGTGGATCGTTACAGGATCGCATGAGGTGGGAGGCCTTCATCCAGCAGCGGATTGTTATAATGCTGATATAACAGTGCCAATTATTTGTTTAATGCGGTACTTGATCCCTTGCAAAATATTTATATTTGGTGCGTGAAGATCTTAACACCTCCTGTTGTATTGCCAGCAAGGGTAAAACCTATTCTTATACTTTGATACTGGAAAGAAAGCTCCCACGGTTATAGCTGCTCACCCCGAGCTATAAATGATCTGATAGTGGCATTGTCTTTGTGCTGTTCGCCTTTTGGCGTTCTCTGGTCTGACACTGGTGAGACTAGGCCCTAAAGAAGGCTGTCTCTGGTGTAGGCCAGTCAGTTTCAAAGACAATGCCCATGTATTACCAGAGCATGTTTGTTTGCATGTTCACCACAAGTAGTGTGTGTGTGTGGTTGATATCGAACTTGATTCCTTGCAAGAGGTTTCTATTTGGTGTGTGAACATCTTAACACCTCCTGTTTTATTGACGGAAAGGGTTAAACATATTCTTATATTGCGCGCAAAGGTTTCGTCTGCCACCCTCCAGCCACAAGGGGCCGTTACCCTCGTCACTGTGTTAGACAAATGCATTCCTTCTCGAATGAAATCGCCACCCCAAATCTTGACGGTTAACCGAATTGTGAGGTGGCTGATTTGTTGACCCTCTGATACCGACTTGCTCAAAATCCCCCCCCACCACCCCCAAGCTCCCCCAGTGTTTTGTCGAGGTGCCATACATACGCTGGCTCGCCAGGAGAAGACGGTACAGCAAGTGGACTAATCGCCATCCGTACAGGGATACAGCGTTGCCCCCTTACACGTGTGGGTTTTCTCCGGGTGCTCCAGTTTCCTGCCACATGCAAACACTCATTAACTGACAGGATAACACCTTAATACAGATATAGGACCGCAGAGCTCACAGGGGGAATCTGGCACCGGCTCACCGCCTGACTGTCGCCGCCATTTCCCCCTCGTCTGTGATTTCTCCTCGCCCCTTTGAGTCGTGTCTTGTTTATTGTCCTTTCCCCGCACCTCCAATTAGCACGGTTGGCTACGTGCTGTGTGAAAGAAATTCAACATACACACATACGTACGTACGTTATCTCTCTTCGAGAGCGAGCGATTGCCGGTGCGCGTTACAAGTTGAAATTATTATCATAGCTACGATTGACGATTTATCGCTAACCCTAACGCTCGCGCGCGTTGTGCCGATCCACAGCAACAGCTGCAGGAGTTTTACAAGAAGCAGCAGGAGCAAGCCCAGCTGCAGCTGTTGCAGCAGCAGCAGCATGTCCAGCAACAGGCGCACGTGCAGCAGCAGGCCCAGCAGCAGGTGGCCAGCAAGGCGCAAAAGGAGGTAACGATTGGCTTCGGCGGCGGTGGCAGACGCAGCGGCGGCGTCAGCAGCAGCGCCGGCAGCGGTAGCACGCGCAGTCTTGTAAAATCCCAGAAACCTAAGCTGGCGTGAGCCTGGATAGCGCCCTGACGAATGACCGTACACGGCCCACCGGCTGTTGAAGACGTGACGCCGCGTGGTGGCCACGAGATGGCGGTCTTGAGTGTTACCCGCTCGTACATGTGAACGGACGCGGTGGCTCTTAACCGGAGGACACGGGGACTCGCCCCCCTCCCCCCTCGGCTGGACAATGTTCCGGCAGGGAGGCTCCCACCCCCCCCTTCCCGCAGTTGTGCTTACCGCCTGGAGGCGCCCCACGGCTCGTACCGCTGCCTTTCGCTGCGGTGCCATACTACCCCTCATCAGAATCGGAATATTTACTTATACTGGAGGAGGAATCCGATGAGCTATTAAGCTCTTTTTTTTACAGATGTCCTGTCGGGGCGGTTCAGAAAGTAACAACAGCAAACTAAACAAAAACACGACAGGAGGGCAAAGTATAGGAAAGGTAAGCACATCGCACAAAAATAAAACAAAAACTAAACTATTTAAAATTTTACTCTGTAAAGCTCCACTGAGCTATTAGCTTCTTTTTTTTTTATAAGCGACTTGCCCACACGTGATAGCTTGACGAAGTGGGCTTATCGCGTAGAAACTTATAGCAGCCAAATAATCGAAATAAGGTTATGGCAGGAGGAGGCGGAGGGGTGACCTGGCGTGCTGCCTATCGGAACAATTTTTACTAAGTGTCTTCCCATGCCAGGATTCGCGCTAATGTAATCCTCCCACTCATTGAACACTGCGAAAAAATATACACACACACACAAAATGAAGATCACGCGTGCGGTAATACAAAATAAATAAGCCGACTAATTCTCCTCCTTCCCATATCTGTCCCTCACACAACATTTAAACGCATTTTCACATATCAGTCACGCTGCCTTCTGGGAGTGCGTAATTGCAGCAGCATTGGGTCGACACTTATCAGACACCGATAGCCAACGTTTTTTTTTTTCTAGCTATAAGCATAGATTGGACTACACTTGTGCCAAATTTCATCTTTCTATCCCTTACGGAAACTACCTTTTAATTGTTATAATAAAAACATCGGCCACTCGTTCAATTACGATCGCCTCTATTATGCATCCGACACTGGTGTGCGCTCTATTGTAGTGTGGTGCACAGCTGGCCAAACGGAATGCCGTAGAGAACTCTGAAGGCATGCTTGCACCCTGTTTTTATTCATTACCCAACGATGAAAATCATATAATCATAATACAAAAAGTCTGTATAAAACATGAGAAGAATGGGGGGGGGGGGGAAACGATAATGGACTTTCAAAAGCAGGCTGTGCGAGAGAAAAGCTTGAGGTACAAGCATGGAAAGGACTCCTTTGTGAATCTGGACGCAGTGGGTAGTCAGTTTATTAAAACCACATACAACGGCGGTGGAGGTGGGGGGTGGTTTAGTGACTGAAGGCCATTGGGGGGTGCCCCTCCCCCCCCCCCCACTCTGTTTTTCTTCAGCCATGGGAAAGTGTCTGCGTGCACGCTTTGGTGCATGTTTACATACCAGGCCGCTTGCGCAAAGGACAGCGGTAAAATTAGAACGTAACGTGTTAGGGCTGCGCAAAACCTCTCTCGAATCGCCGTATCGAGCCACCCCGCTCTCGACCCACCACCACCCCCCCACGATCCCGTCCGATACGGTACATTCAGAAATCTACGTGCTTGTTCACTTTCAAAGTGTATGTATTTGGTCAGCCTGCAATGGGTTGCATACGAGGCTTCACGCACTCGCATGGCGGGCGCCGTGGTGGAGAGATGTTAACCCCCTTGCCCGGTATGCAGGAGGTTGTGGATTCTATCCCGACCCTGACTTCTGCTGTATATTTGGAATTTGAACGTCTCTCTCCCCGTGGTCGTGTGGATTTTTCTGCGGGTCCTCCGGTTTTTCCCTCCACATTTAGAATCTAACGTGCGTTTTAGAGTATTTGGCTACTATCAATGTCCACGAGACATAAGCAGCCTCGTTGAGCAATCAATTGTGGCCAGGTCGCTTCTGAAAAAGAGGTATGTAGCTCAGTGGGCCTTAAACCCAGTAAAATAAAAATAGTTTCCAAGTTGAAAGTGGGAGGAAAGCGGCACGTTCCCCAACAGCCGTGCGGTCTCTCCTAAAAAAAATCATGGCCTGGGACACGATTGTGAGTGTATCTCAGTTGAACTTGTATGTATATGTGTACGTTGAAATTATATGTTTGTACAAATTTTTATTTAAAGCTTTCGTGACTGCAGTAATTCATATTCTTAGCTCTTTCGGTAAAGTCACGTTGAAGGGAAACAATAAAATAATAAAATATATATAAAACAATAAAAATTCTCACGACGTTTCGACCATAACGCAAACGGTCATCATCAGGTGTGAAAAACCAACGGAAAGAAGTGTTTGTACGTTGAACTTTTTTCGCTCCGTAGGTAACCCACCATGCTAATCGGAAGTGCAGAGTGGGCTGTGGTGGCGCTGCTAAGTCATGGGCCTATGTCGGCCTATCTCGGGGGAAACATATCACGGGCTTTGTCGGTTATTCTAAGGCTGCTGCTGCTGCTGGGACACGTTGTTGATCGTACCAGACGTGCACGCACCTGAGAATGCGGGCTGTTTAGTTTATATTTTATCTATGTTTCCATTTTTACACAAAGCCCAAGAATTTCTGCTCAAATATGAAAACGCACGCCGTATAATGTACACGGCAATCTCGAAGATTAAATTCACTTATTGCTGTTGCCATGCTGGTCGGCAGACGCTTTAATAATGTTACTTTCTTATATAGAGGTTCTTATTTGTAATTCTCCTGGCCTCCTCCGTTAGGCTCGGCGATGTCGTATGTTTTCATACAAGTCACGATCTCGTTCAGTAAAAAAACATTCTCTATTTCCATTGTCACGACACACTTCTTTCACTTTCAATTTTTTTTTTTTATCTCGGGCCTATTCACCAGCGTAATGCGAGCGAGGTGACACTTACGTGACCGTTACATGAATGCAACATACGGTGCATCAACCGTAATAGAATACGGTTCCAAAACCTAAATAGTGAAAGATGTAATCGAAATTGTGAATAAACTTTTAAAAAATGCGCAAAATAAATATTGAGCTAAGAAAGAGAATCTTAAGTTTATATCGAGGGTCAAAAGATACGTAAAATAAAACACTGCACAATGGACACATCTAATGTGCGTCGACAGTTGTGATTGAGTGACTGATATGCATTCTGCTGATATTTTATAAGGGCTGGAAAGCTTAAAATTTGCACAAATGTAGTCGATTCTATGCTTATAACTCAAAAATAATGGCGGGGAGAATAGTTGGTTTGACTCACAGGGGCAGACTCCAAAAATAAGGTTTTACATTCTGATAGTCCTCCTGCTCAAAGCGTAAAAAAAGATTTGTGCATCATCAGTGAACCCAGTTATTTGCCTCCCCATCGGGTGGTAGGCAAGGCCCACAACAAGACAACCTTGCCAGGGGTCAGCATCCAAAATAACAAGAAGAGCCATTTTTTTCGAATTTAGTAAAAAAACTCAACATTTCAAGAGCCTCCAATGAATGCGAATACGAGATGGTGTTTTTGGTCCTTAATAAAATTTGGAGGCGTAGATGTGGTGACTATGCTTCTGTGCTCTTGCGCCATGTGGGGAAAAAGGGGGGGATTACTAAGGCAATGTACATTATGCATTATGCAAAATGTACGTTGCCTCATTTGAAAAAAATGTTTCCAAATTTTCTTGTTGTGGTTTTCACACCTGATGATGATTGCTTGTGTTGCAGTCGAAACGTCGTGAGAATTGTATTGTTTTATATATTTTTTTTATTTTATTGTTTCCCTTCTACGTGACTTTACCGAAAGAACCAAGAATATAATATGTTATCGTTTACGGTAAAATAAAATAAAAAGCCCGGCGCGATGTTTTAGAAGCATCTAAAAAGCCGAACAACTCCTCGAACGCCTGGCCTGATCGGCTAGCAGAGCAATGCCTCCGTGTCTGCCCCGCGGCATGTTGTGTCTGCTGGTAAGTGGGCACTAAATTTTGTGCGTAAATAAAAAATGTTCACGGTTTAAATAAACTTTCCATGACCCTGGCAGGATTCCACATGCTTGCGTTAGGTTTATGAAGGCTGGTTTGTATTCGTCTTGAGTATGCGAGTTGGTGCCTGTATTTTAATGGCAGAGCTATCGGGTGTTAAATTATTTGACCAGATTTGTATCCTTGGCCATTTAAGAAAAGTTTCGCCTCAAACGGACAACAATGTGGACCACACAATAACAACTTAATTGTCTATGCTTGGCTCAGTAAGAGATCACCGCAATGCTGTGGATGGTTGTTTAATGCCATTAAGCCAGTTCATTGTCTGGAGCAGCGTAGAAGATAAGAGAGCTTCTCTCTCTCTCACCTTGACGTGCATCATTTTCTCCGTCCGAACCAATCGGTGACTTTGATATAGAAAAATCTGGTGAGATCCATCAGCAGCTGGTGGCTCGGACTGCTAACAAGACCTAGCCCCCTCAAACCTGTTTACCGGCTACCGGCTTGCATTCCGGTGCACCCTGTATCGTCTTAAAGCCTCTCCTGGATGCCCGACTCGGCGAGAGATCGCAAGGTCACCAGCCGGGGATCACGCGGGTAGGCTGGGCCGCGTGTCAGTGAAGCCATGCAAGTTTAATTGACTTACAAATGTAATGTCCAATTGAGACAATCGTCATTGTGTGCCCACTCGTGAAGGGGCAGATGATCTCGGACCTCGGAGCAAAAAAAATAGGAGAGTAAGTTAGACATTGGTGACCTACAAGTGACCTAGAGTTATAGTTCGGAGTTGGGTTATTATAATGATCGAGATGAGCACATTGCTCGTAGATCATTACGAGGGATGTGATTAATCTAGAAAACAAAAATCAGGCCCAGATACGAAATACTGGATAATCCAAAGGTTTTTTTCCTCAGATAAATCTTAAAAATCCGGAAGTGACGTCATTAAATTGCCATCACCACCGCGTTTTTTCTCTCAAAAAAGCAGCGTCACGTGGCATTGGGTCACGTCAGTATTGTTGCGACGAAGAATGTTCCTTTTTTTACAGAGATGGAAGTGATTAAAAATGATCCCAAATAATTCCAACATCTGAAATCATCCGAAGCTCATCTCCAATCACTGCACTCGATAAGCCAACGGGAATAATACCGAACTCGCGCCGCACACAGCCAGAGAGCATCTTTCCCTGTCAAGCCAACGGCCCTCTAACTGTTGGTGCCTGCCCCCTTCCCACCTCTCTCTCTGCCAGCTGATGGCCCAGCAGCTGGCCTTCCAGCAACTGCTTCAGCTCCAGCAGATCCAGCAGCTGCAGCAGATCCAGTCTCTACAGAGGCAGGGGCTGCTGTCCCTGCAACCCAGCCAGGGAGCCAACATCCCCCTCCAGGCTCTGCAGCAAGGTACGGGTGACACGGGGGTGTGTCGACGTGGGCCCTGTCTGTGTCTGTGTGTGCGTGTGGGGTGGTGTGGGGAGTGGTAGCATCGCGGTCAGCACGCTGCGCTACGAATCCGGCGACCCGAGTTGGATTCCCCGCTCACGGCCAACACCAGTGACGATTATCTGAACCGGTCCTGGGCCTCCTCTAGGTCGACTCAGTCTCAAATAAGTACCTGGTGCGGTGTGTAAACATCGCCACTGGGGAGACAAAGGCAGTCGGGCGTGGTGCTGACCACCCACCCCCTCGTGTGCCGTGCCGGCCTTCATAGGTGCTCGCGAACAGCACTTGCCCCAAAAGTCTATTCAGCCTGTACGGGTGATATTTGTCTTTGTGTGGGAAGGTGCTCGCTAAGAGCACTTGCCCCAACAGTCTGTTTAGGCTGTAGGGGGGGATCTTTGTTTTTGTTATGTGGGGTGTGGCGGGGGGAACGGTGTGTGTGTGTGTATGGGGAGTGGTGGTACAGTGGTAAGTGTACAAATTCAAATCCAGCACTCTCTGTATATGATGAGAAGACCCCATCACAACAGTTAAATGCATGCAGGCTGGAACTGATGGGCATATCACTTGCCGCTGATGTTAATCATGGCCGGGAATTGAACTCAAGTTTCTGGGTTTGTCGTGCAGTGCACTGATCACTGCACCACCGCCACAACCCCATGAGAAGATTTACACTAACACACACACGTGTGACAGGAGACAGAGGAGTCTGTGCACGATTAAATATTTGGTTTCTCACGGTTGAACATTGACCCGAGTATCCAGATTCTTGACCGGGGTAGCACACTGCACTGCACTTACGATCCAGAGGTCGCCGGTTCCACTCGATCATCGGGCACGGACATTGAAAACAATGGAGTGAGTATCTTAAATCATCCCACCTCTCTGTCCCACCCAGCAGTATAAATGGGTTCACCACAGTGAAGTCGATCGGCAGGTAGTGGCGTAAAGCCTTGGGAGAGGTGGGTACCCTCACCTCTCTCCAACCATCACGCGAACTCCGGTCATCCTCGCAGTGGCTTTTGGCGAGCCATCGAACAAAGACGGTCACCGCATCGCGCGCTCTCAGATGCACTTCTGCGGCCGTCTGGAACGCTCTTCCTTGTGATATTAGGAAGCCGCTGGAGCTATGCACTTTTAAATAATCTTTATGGAAAACTCCTTTCTTTAGAACAGTTTTTTGTGTATTAGGTTTGTTGTCCTTCCCCCGCACCTCCGATGAGCACGGTTGGCTACATACATACATCTTACCAGATGGGAATTGTCGGCCAAATACTACCAGCGGTGGCATGAGCAGGGAATTGCATGGCTACACCTTCACCTTTTGTTATGTTATCTTGTCTCGACTTTCGTCTGCAACCCCGACCCACCCCCCCCAGGCCTAGTGTCGGCCGAGCTGTGGAAGGAGCTGGTGGCGATTCAGGGTGCGCAGGCCGGTGGGGGTGGCCACGGCGGCCCGGCGCAGGCGGACGAAGGCCCCACGCTCGCCAACGGCCGCCCCGAGATGCCCGGCTTGGGGGCCATGCGGCCCACGCCCAGCCCTCTCCGCTCGCCGCTCACCAACGGGCAAGGCCAGACGGCGGCGCACGGCAAGGACGGGTGAGTGGCGTCCCCCCCACCCCCGCTTCCGGCACGGCCCAACACGGTCTCCGGTTTGTCCGCGCCATCGTCAACCGTCGTCGTCGCCACCGTGTGTCACGTGTGTCCCGAAGCTGGCGCGACTCTGGGAAGCAGGCAGGCAACAAACGAGCCATGGTGGACGGTTCCAGGAATGGGTCCCGGTTTGGCTTGCGTCTGATATATTCGGTGGTTGTGGAAGTGCAGCCGTGCGTGTGTGCGTGACCGAATTTGAGCGATGGCAGTCCACGTGTGGGCAGGCCTGTGCCCGTTCCCCTCGCCTGCACGGCCCTGTTTTCTCCTTCTCTGGGTAGGCTTTCATCCAGCAGTGGATAGATTGTGGCTGCTACTGCTGCTGCTGCTTATGATAATGACAATAATAATGATAATAATAATACAGACTTTGTGATTACATCACCCACCCGAGAACAGCTGGGGTAAACCGTACAGTGTGCATTGCAACAATAATAACAACAACCCAATTACGGATGAATAGAACGCTTGGAGATCAAATTGTAAATGTTGTGGATTTACTCTCGAACACACCGGTGGGCTGAAGTAGTAAACTAATTGGCGCATTGTTTACGTGACAAACCTCACTGGCTGTGTTGGGTGGTGGAGGGTTACGACGCATTTATACTTACGTGATCTAACCCAAAAATCTTTACTATTAATAATATTGGTCGCGAAAGCCTACGTGTTAAACTGCTTGGAGCTCGTGGCTCGTCTCTCTCCAACTCCGTGTCCGCGCCAAATCACGGTCGGCCAAAGCCGGACAAACGCGATTGGACAAACCGGGACAAATGCGATCGCGAGAGTTTTCTCGCCGCTGCTTGACACCGCGGCTGCCCGCCTCGCCCCAGACAAAGCCCCCGCGCAAGGCTCCTCGTCCAGAAAAAACAGAAAAGCGATTTAGCCAACCTATGTCGCTCCGCCGTCGATGCTCAGAATGGCACAGCTTCGAGAGGTGGGCCACGGCTTTTTGTTTTTTGTTATTGTAGCACTCGGTCTAAAAAAAAAAGGCCCAAAACGCCAGAGTTGTAACGAATTATCAAAGGTGGCACGGGTAAGGGTCAAAGTTACAGTATCAAGTCTGGTGGACCCAGTCCTCAAAATGGGCGGAGGAATCGTGTTCGTGAAGTTGACGGCAACGGGAGCGATGGTGGCAGCGCTGTAAGAGCGACGGAAGATAGCTTGGGTTAGGGCATCGGGGCCAGCATTGCGGTCAGGGTTTAGGCAAAGCTTTGAGGTAAGTTCCGTCGTATATGTCTTGTATGTATGTGTCCGTGTATTTGTCTTAATCTGTTTGTATACGTCTATGTGCTTATGGGAAGCAGTAGTGTAGCGGTTACCGCGTTGCGCTTAGAAACCAGCGACCCAAGTTCGATTCGTGCTCACAGCCAACACCAGTGACGATTATCTGAACCAGTCCTGAGCCTCCCCTCGGTCAACTCGGCATCAAATGAGTACCTGGTGCTGGCCGCCTACCCCATCGTGTGTACTGTGCCAGCCCTCATCGGTGTTCGCAAACAGCACTTGCCCCAAAAGTCTGTTGTGGCTACACGGGCGATCTTTGTCTTTGACTGTGTGTTCGCGCGCGCGTGTCCTGCCTGTGCCGCCGGCGCCGCTGCTGCCCGGAAGCTCGCTGAGCGACGACTCGCCGGGCCACCCGCTCTACCGCCACGGCGTGTGCAAGTGGCCGGGCTGCGAGGCCCTCTGCGAGGAGTACTCCCAGTTCCTGCAGTGAGTACCGCGCGGTGCACACGCAGCAACGGTGAAACAATTCTCAGCTAATAATAGGGTTTTTCCCCTTTTTTCTGGCAACAAAACTGAAAACTTTTTACAAGGATTCATGTCTGCATTAACCACAATACCTGCAGTCAAAATGCAAACAAAACACATACTATGATAATATATGCATTGTTTTTTAAACTGATTGGTCCACACCAAGGGACTGCTTTCTTTAAAAAGAAAGCCATCCCTTGGTGTGGACCAATCAGTTTTTAAAGAAAGCCGTCCCTTGGTGTGGACCAATCAGTTTCAAAGACAATGCATATATTATCATAGTATGTTTTTATACTCTTGTGTTCTATTCGGTAAAGTCATGTAAAAAACAACAAAAAATGAAAAATTCACGACGTTTCGACCACAACACAAGTGGCCTTCATCAGGTGAAGGGACCAGACTGTCTAGAGGACAGCGCTGGAGTGAACACAGCATGGAGTGAACACATGCATTTTGACTGCAGGTATTGTGGTTAATGCAGACATGAATCCTTGTAAAAAGGTTTCAGTTTTGTTGCCAGAAAAAAGGGGAAAAACCCTATTATTACATTTTGGTACTGGCAAAGGAGGTCTAATGACTAAATTCTCAGCTAGTCGCTCGCTCACTTGCTCGCTTGCTCTCTTTCTCGCCGGCGGCCGGTCGCGTCTCCTCATCATCTCTCTTATATCGCTACTGCTGAGGTCGCACTCGTTACACACGCATAATGCTTTCAACAAATGAACCACAATACCTTGCTGATCTCATCAAGGAGCGTAAAACCATCACGCGAATACCGGCCATGCTCAGAGTAGCAGCGGGTTTTGGCTGGCCATTAAACAAAGACGGTCAACGCATCGTGCGCTTTTGGATGCGTTCCTGCGGCCCACTGGAACGCTTTTCCTTTTGATATTAGCAAGGCACTGGAGCTATGCACTTTTAAATAATCTAGATTGACAAGCTCATTTCTTTAAAACTGCTTTTGTGTTTAATTAGTTGTCCTTCCCCCGTGCCTTCAATTAGCACGGTTGGCTACGTATGGTATGTAAGCAGTAAAACAATACAAGGCATTCTACTGCCAATATTTCCCAGGGATAGATTTTGGCATTAGTATTTGGCGAGCTGTGGTGAGTTTCGCAGTGACCGGCTTCGGGGTTTTGTAGCTTTGAAAGTATGTGATGTGTCCCTCTAGGTCATTAGTGGCCTCCTTATCTCTTCTGTTGCTGCTACTACCGTGGTTACTATTCCCACGAACTTGACTCGTTGATTCCTCCACCCGTGTGGAGGACTCGGTCCGTGCCAGTTTGCGAGTGATGAGGTTTTGACGGATTATATTCTCCTACCACCATGCAACGTGCAGACACAACCGGCCAATCACGTTCAAGCGAACCCTGGTGATCCCGGTGTGAGTGCGGTGCACACCGTAGCGCCACTGTCTCCGTTCCGCAAGTGCAAGGCATTCGGTGCAGAGCAGTGAGCAACTCTACCAAGATAACCCATCGCTGCTTTTATGATGTGCAGAGGCCCAGGTATAACCCAGGTGACGGAAAGCAGATAAAAATGCTTCTGTACCGGGACTGATTTTTCACGCTGCCAACTCGAGAGGCCAATAGCCGTGCATCGTGTCAGACGCTGACACAGCGACCGTAACCACACACACAGACACACCGCTTGGCAAAGCCAGTCTCATCTTCCCTCAACCCCCCACCGCCAACTACCCCCCCCCCCAGACCCCCGTCGACAAGAGCCTCTCTTTGTGCTGTCCTGCGGAAACCCTGCCAATTAATTAGCAAGGCTTGGTGGCTGCCCGCGCAGAGCCTAATCCTAATTAAATCGTTTAATCGCTCGCGCAAGATGCGGTCATTACGGCCGCCGTGGTTGCCACCGTTCGCCGTTCTCCTGGGGAGCGGGCGAGCGCCCCCCCCCGCCCCCCCCCCCCCCGAGCGGCGCGGTAATGATGGACGCCCGCTCGCGAAGGAGCACCGCGGAGTTTATTTTTTAGTTTTTTGTTGTTGTGAGTAAGGGAGCGATGCGCCACGCGCGCCCGTCGCCGGCGCGTGTCCCTCCGCGCAGGGGGAGGCGTTTGCCCCATGATGCGATGGCCCCATCTAGCCCTTGCACGCGAGATGATGTCGTCGCTCGATCGCTTCCGCGAACATTCCTCGGGCGCGTTCCCTCCTTTGGCTCCAGCTCCGTTCGTAGCCTCGACCGTCATCCCTTCTGGCGACGTGTCCTGCTCGAGCCCACGTACTTTTGTTGACGGCATCCGATGAGCACGGTTGGCAACGTACGGTGCAAAAGAAGTTCAACGTACGTTTGACGACGGTCAGTACGATATCTCTAACGTGCACACGTTCTTCGTGGCGCATTTCTCTTTGTTGTCTCTCAGGCTAATTCGAAGAATGCTTCTCTCCATGCTTCTTTGTACTCGCGATGGGGTTCTAAAATAAGCCATTAGGTCGGGGTGATTTTTTAAAATCTTTTTTGAAAATGACTGGAATGCCCCTTGTGTATTTACATGTCAGTGAAAGATCCCGTTATGTTGCTCACAATGCCAGGCCTTTTTTTTTTTAAACCGCGTCATGGCCAGAGTTGCACATTTCACATGCAGTAAACTGCACAACAAGAGTCTCTGTGAGGCTGCCGTAACATCTGTCCCGCAACAACTCATCCCAAGGGGGGTGGAGCAACGACGCAAATCAACCCAAATGTCTCTTCTACCCTCGGGACACAACTCGCTTCCGTTTCCTCATTTTCCTCCGGTCCTCCGTCGCCGACTGCAAAACGTGAAATGTCGAGGAGGAGTCTGAGCTGACCTCTAATGCGGCATCATCGCTGTCCTCACCATGAGGCCATCCCCGTTATTTACGTGAATGTACAGAGGCACACCTCTGGGGGGGGGGGGAGTTAAACCCCCCTCCCCGCCCGCCCCACCCCTCCAAAATAAAAGTTAAATGGCTGCCATTGTATGTCACACGCCAATTATAAAACAAACCAAATCAGAATTGGCTGAATGTGACGTAATAACTGTTGTAGCAATATGGATTTCCTTCTTAGCTCTCTCAGCACGAAAAGCAACTTAGCCCCCGCCGTTGAAATATTAATGTGGAGGTGCGTGACGCTGTAATGTTGGTGCTTTCTGCTGCCAGCGAGGGAACGTCTCGCGCGTTCGTATATCGAAGCGTCCGCCAGAGGCGCGCCGCTTCCCCGGTCGCACGCCAGAGGGGACAAAGAGGGGACAAAGACGGCCCGCGCTAGCGGGGACAATAAAAGCCTCCGGCTCGCTTGCTCGCACGTTCACACAATTAGCGCGACAACGGCCCTCTCCGTACGCGGTTTGTTTTACGGATGTCGAGGCAACCGTGTAATTTCTTACAAGTTAAACCGGAGCACTCGCGAGGATCGCGGAGTAGGGGAAGCGCCCAACGGCTCCGCGTTTTTTGTTGCAGCGAATGTTTAGAAACCCTCCACCTTATAGTTGCAATTCGTAAAACACTGCATGGGACGTGTGGGAGCCTTTGTGAGGGTTCGTACGGTTGTGTCCAGAATTGTGCTGGCTTTTTATATTACGGTGAATATTTTTATTTTATTTTATCCAGCTTCTTTCATGCAAATGTTGCGTCACAGTTCTGTGGAATTTGTAACGTGCGCGATTTTTCACACGGAAGCATGGGGGACACCTGAGACGGTCAGAACCGGTGCCAACAGTTGCCCAGGCGCTGTTGTCCTATGTTCAGATGTTTGGCCAACTCAATTCACGAGTGTTTACACGTGCGGAGATAACCCCCGCACCCGGCGGGGGTAGAAACTCAATTCCAGTACAGATGGGCACTCGCTCAACGCTCGTGGATTGGGATCTTTACCAATTTGTAGGATCCACCGATTAGAGGCATGGACTGCCAGCCCCTGGCCCTTTTTAGCACCTACGGTTTATTCTATTTCGAGTTTTCCTCGATCTGAGGGTTGGCCGCGAGATGGACAATCCGACACCGCAGGGCTCTCTGTCTTTGGCAGTTGTTGTGACTTGTCCCATACTACCCCAGCCTCTCCTTAACCACTCCCACCTGTCCTCCTTACTGTGTCACCTTCGCTACACCCACCACTTTTAATAACAGCACTTTTTTTTTACTACTTTCATCTCATGTACAATTTTATAATTGTATGTATGATTAACTTATTTCGCGCCGTACTTGGCTAAACGTGGTATTCAGAGGTGCGGGATAATTATTGTAAAGCTCCTTGGACTGAAGCCATGTATAAATCAATTTAAGTTAAGATACTGAGCCCCTTCCAAGTATCAACCGTGGCGCCAATCCTGAGACCGAGCCTCAGGGCCGCCACCTTCTCCAGGCAGTCTCCGGGTTTCCGTGGGACGCAATGGCGGAGCCAGGATTTTCAGGGAGGGGGGGGGGGGCAACCCCTCCAGCAATGTAAAATGATAGAGGAGTTGTTAGTAAGTAAGGAGTTGTTAGTGAGTAAGGACTTGTCCCTTGCTTTTTATTCGACGCGTGTGCGGCGATGGCGCAGCCATCTAAGGTTCGATCGAATTGCGAACCGCGTTGTGTGATCGGCATTGCGCTCGCTGAAGGTGCTGATGCCTTCAGGGAAGTCGTGTGCTGTATACGCAACTGCGCACAATTCTGTGAGTCACTTAGAAATGCTTTGTCGTTACTTATTGCCAATTATGGACTCAGACTATTGTCATATCATCTCATAAAGTCCCTGGCACGTAATAATTTGCTACACAGTGGCAGTGGGGTCGCAAGATGCCGACATTACTAATAAACCCCAATGATCGGATCTAAATTAGGGATTTTGATCAGATCATTGGGGGGGCACGTGCCACCCCACCCCCCTCACTGGCTCCGCCAGTGGTGGGACGTATCCCTGGAGGACCACCATCTCTCTCTCTTATTGATCAACTCCACGAACCCCTGCACATTTTTATTTTGCCATTGATTCATTTTCAGGACTGATTGATT